AAAAAAAAGAATCATGTGACGACACAATGTATATTTACGAAAGAATTGTGAAGAAGCATTGTTTACAAAAGTTTATTCTATTGTATACTTAAAATTTATCTGAAATCTTTAAAAATAAATCAAATTGTGGTGGAATGGAACGGACGTGGAAGGAGATAAATGAAACAATTGTTAGTGAAAATGATTTAATGTCTTTGACCAAGTCTCACAACGTCAGTATCTATCGCAGAGAAAATTTTAAAAATTATGAATCAATAACATATAGATGTTCACAATATCGAACTTTTACTAAATGTCAATATCAATTAAAAGCAAAAATCTATCATGATAGTACTTATCAATTTTTTTATTCTCAACATCATGAACATGAATTACTTGAAGATACACGTTTACCAACTGATATTCGTTCAAATATTCGTGATCTTGCTATGAAAGGTTTAACCATCGGTCAAATACAAAAAATAATGGAGGTAATATATCCTGATATTTCAATTCACACAAAAATCAGAAACGTTGTTCAGTACGAAAAGAAAAAAATTCGTTCTTCTATAACATTTATTGATGATTTAAAAGCATGGTGTTCTAGTAGAGCATCATATCCACCTCCAGATAAAATACACCAGGTAAATTCGTTTGAATTAATCGAAAATCTTTTATTTTGTTTTTATTTTTTTGTAGCCTTTTGTACCAGGGTGTGGGTGGGTGTGGGTGTGGGTGGGTGTGGGTGTGTGGGTGTGTGGGTGTGGGTGTGGGTGCGTGGGTGTGGGTGAGGGTGGATATGGATACTGGTATTCTGTACACCCACACCCGCACCTCACACCCACACCCCACACCCACCCACACCCACACCCACACCCCACATCCACCCACCCACACCCACACCCACACCCCACACACCCCACACCCACCCACACCCACACCCCACACCCCACCCACACCCACCCACACCCACACCCACACCCAATTTTGAAATATACCAGTAAGTTTAAGATAATTAAACATTTTTAATTTATTTAATTTATCTATTGTAGAGGATTTTAACAATGAAAGTATTAATGCATCTATTGCAGCAGTTGGAGTTGCATCAGCTACACCACATTCATCAACTACTGCTCCAAAACCAGAACATATTGAAAAGACATTTAAAAAAGTTCTTGAAAAAAATTAAAAGACTTTTTGTCATTTAATTGTTTTATTTTTATTCACATTACTACAAATAAAAGAGAAGAAGATTAATAAACTAAGAGTAACAAATGGTAAAAGAGCATTTGCAAATAAAAAAGTGTATTGAAAACAAACTTGTATTACATTAAAACCAAAATAAGGATCAGATAATAAAATTCTTAATATAGTTATTATACCAGATAGAATAAAACAAATAATATAAATACTTGATATTGATATCATTTGAATTGTTAATTTTCGACATTTTCGCCAAATAAATCGATTTTGTTTTATACGATTTTTTTGTCGAATAACTTGAATTAATAATATTATATTTAAAACAATTATCAAACAAATTGGTAAAACACAATTAATTAACCAATCATAAAGATATTCAATTCGATTAAAGATAAAACATACTCTTCCACACCATGGTTTTGACAAAATAAAACTATTTTCACAAGAATTTAAAATTATTAAACATATATAAACAACAATACCATACAAAATTATTAATATTAATGAAAATTTATGAAAAAAGAAACGTCTGACAGCAGTATTGAAAAGATTATAATAAAATATCATTATATGTCTTTGAATTGATGCCCAAACTGTCAAATATAAATTAAGATAATAATCTAAATAACTAAAATAATTCCATATTAAACAATAAATTGATGATGAAGGCCAAACATAAGATGATTTAAAATAAATAAGAACTCCTAATTGTTGAAATATTATATCAATTAAACTAATTGATATTAAAACAATTAAAATATCATCGGACAAAATTCGATGTTCATAATTCTTTCGATATAAATAATGAATAATTAAAATACTTAATGGAATTGAAATAACATCAATTGGAACAAATATTAACAATTTTATTAAACGTGAATATTCACTATCAACAAATGATGTTAATCCAATCAAACTATCGTTTTCAAAATTCATTATCTAAAATAAACAGAAAAAGTTCTCATTTTATGTTCTCGTTGCATTTTTAATTCTCAAATGATAATATAAGAGACCAACGATGTCAATTAATAATGTCTTTAACATTTCACAGTTTTAAATAGATTATCAAAACAAAATCTCATTGGACTTAGGAAAATTAATTATGCGACTATTTTTAAAGTCATGCTTACGGTAAAGCTCTTTTTCTCAAACATAATCAACTAGAACGTTGTTTTTCATTATTATTTTAATCGACACCTGAAGACAATCGAAAAAAGACGGATGTTAATCTTATCAAACTATAAAAAGAAACTATCAATATCATTTTTTAATTACATCCTAAGCTATATATTAATTAAATGCCAAAGTACTTTCTTTATAAAATACACAAATCACAAAAATTCAAGTAAAGACAAATTTGTTAGTAAGCATACAAAGATTCAATTCAGAGGAAAATATCTGAGTAGTCATTCAAAATAGAATAAAGAAGACATCATTTTCTTTTATTCAATGAACAATGTACGTCATACTTTTATTTACAAAATCATTGAACAAATATTTGATCTTATATGCAAATGGATGCTTTTTATCATCATAAATGTTCTTTCAAACTAAAATGAATTAAAAAGGAAACAATACTTTTATTAACTACCGGGACAAATAAAATTTTACTATTTTATTGACGAAAATAAAAATTAAGCATTTATTACAATATTTATTTAGAATCACTTGGTTTTACAATTGTCTATTTTATATATTTAATCATCATATAATCACGTTTTTTTAGAGGAGAACCTAATCATGGAAAAACATTGATGTGGATTATTATTGGTTATTATAGTCGTTTTAATTCATGCAATTATTCTCTTTCCAATTTTCACAACAAATACAGACGACAGAAAATCGACAGACATCGATTTTATTCAGAAAAACAGAATACTTTTATCGATTTATACAAATCGAGATTAACTTCATTATGTCAAGTTTAAGATGCACATTTCTAAAGTTAAATAATAATAGGTAACTAATATGTTAGATCCATAGTTATGACTTATTACTATACATTTCAAAATAGAAGGCGAGTGATTATGAGATGAATAACTCTCGAACAGATTGAGACATTGAGGAATGATTTT